TGGAGGAAAGGAAGGGGAGGAGGGGTGATAGTTTCAGAGGATAGAGATTAGAGGAACCAACGTAGGTTGGTTAATCGGACACTTAAGCATGTTTATATGTTAGTGGAGATTTGTCTGTGGACACCCAAAAGCTGATTAGTAACGTAATAAGGAAGGCTATTGAAATTTTCTCTAGTTTTTCAGTGAAATTGACTTGAGAGTGCTTAAAGCACTGCCTTAAGTCAGATGGTTTTGATTATTATAATTTTTTCCTGATTACGAGAGTAATTTATGATTGGTGACAAACAGTATTTAAACTTTACAGAAGTACAAGAAGTAGACAGTAAGCGTCTTCTGTCACCTCAGTGATAACTGCTATTAGCAGTTTGATCCATGCCACTCAAGGGTTTTGCCCTCCCCCGACCCCGGACCCTCTACCTACTGATGTTTACCTCACAAAAGCTGTGAGCTCATGTTGCTCTCTAGCACTCTTCACTTAATACTACAAGTCAGACAATAATTTAATCCTGGAACTAAGGTTAAAAAAAATTTTTTTTTTTAAAGCCAATAGATATCTCTACATCTTGGGCACTTAATAACAGGAGTAGCTATCCTCCATACTCAGGAATTTTATTTATAAACCCTCACCTATTGTTTGCTCTCCCTCTTTAGACTAGATGTAACTGAGGTTCAGGTAGCTCCAGTGATCATCTTTGTGATATTTCCATTTTGAGGAGAAACAATGTGGGGCTACGCGGTAAATATGAGCATTTAAAATTATATTTAAGAACCTGTGAAATATTCAGAAAAACAATACTGCATTGCTGATTTTCTCCAAAAAAAAAAAAAAAAAAAAAAAACCTCTGCACTATATTTGTGCTGATTCCATCTCTTTACCTTTTTTCTTCATTTTATAATTTGGTTATCCTATATACTGTGCACATTTTCCCACTATGTGTTGAAGGTATTACCATAGACAAGCAAATGACCTCATTTTCCCAAGACAAAATTAAATACAATAGTCGAACTATCTTTTATAGCATAAAATTTATCTCATACATTAAATGCTAAAACAAATAAATCCAGTATAACATTCTACACTTAAAACTTGTAACTCAGTATTAGGAAAGAAAAGTTGATAGTCTGCATTTTTAATAAACTACTGTGAGGTGAAGGTTCTCGTATTTGAACCTCATACAATGTTTTATTTTCTGCTTGGCTGCTGACTTCAGTACTTGAAAAAAGTTGGTTCTTTTTTAAGATTTTATTTATTTATTTGACAGAGAGACAGAGAGAGAGAGCACAAGCGGGGGGAGCAGGAGAAGCAGGCTCCCCGCTGAGCAGGGAGCCCGACGTGGGGCTCGATCCCAGGACCCTGAGATCATGACCCGAGCCGAAGGCAGACGCCTCACCGATTGAGCCACTCAGGCGCCCCGAAAAAAGTTGGTTCTTAAGAGGCCACTGTCATCAAATCAAGCTTTGCATAGGAAGAAATCTCACAGAGAGAACAAACTACTCTGTCACAACAACCTCAGTCCATAATACGGGCTAAGTGACTCCTACATGCCCACGGTGTCGAGAAGAAGAACGAGGGTGTCGACGGCTAACAAGTAACATTGATTCAGCACTTATTATGTGCCTACAGGTTTCTCCATCACCGCTTCATCTGACCCTCAGAATCGTCCTATTTAAAAAAAAAAAAAAATACTGTTTTATACATACACAAGAGCAAATCTATTTTAGCAAACACAGATTTAGGTTGATGGTTCTAGATTTAGAAGATTTCATGCCTAATTAATTTCATTATTTGTTTTAGATTAGCGGTGCTGGGAGAACCCTGATTCACATGGATAAAAATGTAATGGGCTGCCTTGTACAATTTTACAGCTCAGATATTTGCAGTCAGAAGGCAGAAAACGGTGTTTGTGAACAGACGCCAGGGCAGAGTTACAGTCCTCCTAATCGGTGATGGTGTGTTTTTCCAGAATTGGCAGGATAAGCATTCTCTAGATATCTGCGCGAAAACATGTTAACTCGATAACCCACGTGTAGATGACCTTTGACATAGTGAAACAGATGTAGGGTAAATCCCATTGTTATCTGTTAGCCGGTCACTGGTATAAAACCCTGCACGTATGTAAGGTTGGCCCAAACCTCTACGGCCCTGTATGACCTCTGAGTAACACCATGAGGCTCTGTGGAAGTCTGGGAAAGCGCAGCTCTGACCTGGTTACTCCTTTAGGCCGTGCGCTCCAGATTCCTACGGTCTTGCGTGCTGTCTGCGGTGGGAGAGATGCAATGTCACCGTACGAGGCTGACCTGCTGTATCCCTTAGGGTGCCAGTGTTCTGTCACCTGGACTCCCCACAGGACTAAAGATCCTCCTGGCAATAATGAGCTGCCAGAAGTCAGCAACTAGTGTTTCTGAAAAACGTCCTCATCTTTACACCCTAATATTTGAGTGTGTCTTTGCTAAAGCCTCACACAGTTGGTGGTAAGAAATTATTTGAACTGATGATTCACGGTGTGAATAAAGCCCTTCGTCCTGGAACTCCAGGCTGGAAACTACGCACACAATGGGCGGGTTTCCTCTCTGGCGTCATCACTCGATAAATGGTTAAGCTTTGTCAGCGCTCCACGGGAACCGTGAGACTGTGATAGGAGTTTACTGCCGTGCGCGCAGGGAGGCCACCTTCCCAACTTAACTACACTGTGAGTTCTTTGTTAGTCTTACTGTTATTATCATTCCCACTTTGATAGCATACCATTCAGATGTTGAAACTTTAACAGGCTACCCACCCATGGATTTGAGAAGTTTGAGAGTCAGTGTTCCCCTATCAAATGTGAGTTAAGTGACTCGTCTTGACCTCAAATTCAAGTTGTAACTAATATCCGGTACTAAAAGTAAAAGGGAAAACACTTAAATGGTAGAATATCCAGTGATTTTTATCAAATTATATTAATCTGAAGCAATAAAGGAATAATTTGTTCTACTTTTTTATAGGTAGCTCACAGGACTAAAAGTGAATGGTATTTTGGAGACTCCGTTGAACTGTTTCATGTTTTGACTGGCAGTTTAGTAATTCTGTAGATATCGTATCTTTCTATGGATAGTAAACAGAAGTAGGCAAATTTCCGCTAAAGGTTTTCATTTCTTATTCGCAGATGTCAGGTAACACTATGAGTAAGGGCCATCCGGTGAGGTATCGATCCCCCCATCTGACCCGAGTTTTAATTTGATCCAACGGTTCTGCAGCCCCTACGCTGCATAATGAAACAATTAAGAAAAGTAATGGAGTAATGAGCATGTACTATAATTATCTGAAGCAGGAGAAAAGCATATGGAACAAAAGCCAGTAAGTCTATATTCCTTAAAAGGAAAAAATACGCCCATGTGAATTAAATACACAGAGAACACACTGGCGTACTTATTTTGCCTCTGTGCCTGGTGGCAAAATTTCTCAAGTGAGGGTCTCCTTAAAAGTTTGAAATATACCACAACTTCTTTATCCATTCATCAGTTGGTGGGCCCCTGGACTCTTTCCATAATTGGCCTATTTTTGCTAATGCTGCTACAAGCATCGCGGTGCATGTATCCGTTCAGATTACTATTTCTGTATCCTTTGGGTAAATACCTAGTAGAGCAATTGCTGGGTCTCAGGGTAGTTCTATGTTTCACTTTCTGAGGAACCTCCATACTGTTTTCCAGAGTGGCTGCGCCAGTTTGCATTCCCACCAACGGCACAGGAGGGGCCCCCTTTCTCCGCATCCTCGCCAACACCTGTTGTTTCCTGTGTTGTTGATTTTGGTCATTCCGACTTGTGTGAGGTGATACCTCGTTGTAGTTTTGATTTGTATTTCCCTGATGATGAGTGATATCGAGCATCTTTTCATGTGTCTGTTGGCCATCTGTATGTCTTCTTTGGGAAAATGTCTATTCATGTCCTCTGCCCACTTTTAATTGGATTATTTGTTTTTTGGATGTTGCGTTTTATACACACACACACACACACACACAGGAATACTACTCAGCCATAAAAAATGATGAAATCTCTCCATTTGCAACAACGTGGATGGAGCTAGAGAGTACTGTGCTAAGCGAAATCAGTCAGTCAGAGAAAGACAAATACCATATGATTTCACTCGTATGTGGAATTTAAGAAACAAGTGAACGTGGAGGGGGTGGGGAAGAGAGGAAAACCAAGAAACAGACTTTTTTTTTTTTTTTTTTAAGATTTTATTTATTTGACACAGAGAGAGACAGCGAGAGCAGGAACACAAGCAGGGGGAGCGGGAGAGGGAGAAGCAGGCTTCCCGCCAAGCAGGGAGCCCGATGCGGGACTCGATCCCAGGACCCTGGGATCATGACCTGAGCCGAAGGCAGACGCTTAACGACTGAGCCACCCAGGCGCCCAAGAAACAGACTTTTAACGATAGAGAACAAACCGATGGTTACCACAGGGGAGGTGGGCGGGGGGAAATGGGTTGAATAGGTGACGGGCATTAAGGAGGGCGCTTGTCAGTGATGAGCACCGGGGGTTGTATGGAAGTGTTGAATCACTAAACTCTACACCTGAAACTAATATTACACTGTATGTTAACTAACTGGAATTTAAACAAAAACCCGAGGGGGGAAAAAAAAAAGTTTGAAGTAGTACTTAAGACGTAATGTTTTGGCTTAAGGGGAAAAGCCTTCACAAAAAAAAAAAATACGGTATTTAAGGAGTAAACTGTCCCTTGATGTCAAATATTCACTCATGGCGGAGGACTCCCTTCTTCCTACATAAGATAAATAAGTTAGAAGTTCGATGGGAGCCTGGGTGGCTCAGATGGTTAAGCCTCTGCCTTCGGCTCAGGTCATGATCCCAGGGTCCTGGGATCGAGTCCCATATCGGCCTCCCTGCCCAGCGGGGAATCTGCTTCTCCCTCTGCCCCTCCTCTCCCCTGCTCATGCTCTCTCTCTCTCTGTATCTCTCTGTCCCAAATGAATAAAAAGAAAGAAAGAAAGAAAGAAAGAAAGAAAGAAAGAAAGAAAGAAAGAAAGAGAAAAAAAAATAAGTTAGAAGTTCGAAAAAAAGTATGTTTGGGCTTACTTTAAAAACAGGGAAAACCATAAAACAAATAGAAGAGTGGGCTCTAGCGGCCATAATTAAAATATCAAACATACAGAAAAACAGGAGAAAGACAGTCCTCTCCTCCAAACGGGAGTATTTTTGTTGTTGTTGTTCTGAACGATTCATGAAAGGAATTTCAGTAACTTAGAAAGAGAATACATCTAGCCGATTTATTCCAAACTAATTCTCAAACAACTTCATGCTTGTGAAATCAAATGTTTCCAGTTGAAAATTTCACGTGGTTTTGCATGTAAAAAGTGCACCAGAAAAGACAAGGCGTGAGAATGAATTGTTAACGTTTTTAGATGAGCATACAATCAACTTTCCATATACTCACTGAATATCAAACTTGCAAAACAAAACTTTCTAGGTAATTAATCTCTAAAGATAGGCATGAAATATTTAAACCACAGGTAACCAAGTACATGTATATGTTAATAAAATACTTTTAATCAATGCTAAGGGCAGGTGTCATTTAATAGTGGACCCAAATCAATTAAATGACATTTTAATTTTTTTGGTGGGAATGGCATATTCACAACTCCATGTCTCACAAGTCGACATTTACATATCTTACTCAGTTGTCTTAATGACTTTAAGCAGTTTCATTTATTCTGGGGCACAAACTTAAGTCGCTTTTAATAAATTTTGTACTTCTGTGGAGTAGATTGTACTTCAAATCTTATTTTCCTTAGAATTGGTTCTTTAACTTAATGAGTATATGCAAAAGGGTGTATTCTTTCATTATTTCTTTTCTTTCAGAAAGAGCAACGTAACCCTCTATGATTGTACTTTCTATCTTTGGGGACTGGTCCAGATTCGCTGAAGCAAACTTAAATGTAAATCATCTTTCTTGCTAAAATTTAATTGACAGTGTTAGGGAGAAAAAGTCACCATTACTACCAAAGGTCTGAACGTTTCCTGCATATAACTTTGGAATTACTGCTACTCACATAACTGTTTAGGTCTCACTTGGGTTTACACAGAAAGAGGGCCTTGCACTCAAACAAGCCAATGAGTAACAAGATGTAATCATTTAAACTAGAATTGTTAGACCACAGTTATCAGGTTACTTAGTCCTTTCTTCAAATGTCATCAAAATAACGGAGAATGAAGAGACTTTTGAAAAATTGCCACCTCTTGTTGCTGCTATTAAATGAAAGGAGAGAATATACTTGTTCAGTATTTATATAAGGATTATGCATATAACAGCAAATAGACTATTTCAATGTTTAAATCAATCCTTAGTTTTCACCTTTAAATATCACACTACTTACATGTTCCATCATAAGGTGTTTTTGCAACATGGCCATTTCTTTCCTAAGTTCACTCTGTTCACCAGTAAGAAAATTTTCCCGATTCTTCTCTAAGTCTTCCACACTCTAAAACAAAAAGCCTAGTCCAGTTACAAACCACCATTTTTCTTCCTATGTTCAAAACATGCAAAATTAAATTTCAAAAGTACTACAATTTTTTAATAGTCCAGTGATGGCCATTATCTATTTGAAATAAAAAAAAAAAAATTCTAAATCACACACGTAGACAAAAACATTCACTAAGGAAAAATTTAAATATCAGATTCGAGTGAAATATTATTATTATTATTATTAATTATTAATTATTATTATTTTAAGTGGGCTCCACTCCCAACACGGGGCTTGAACTCACAGCCCTGAGATGAAGACCCGAGCTGAGATCAAGAGTTGGACGCTTAACCGACTGAGCCACCCAGGTGCCCCAAAATAGCCTTATTTTAGGAGACACAATTACAGTACACTTTGCTCAAACGTCAAGCAGTTAAGGTCGAGGTCAAAATGGACCCCCAAATAGAAAAGGACTGGGAGTCCATATCAACGAATGCTATAATTTTGAAATCCAGTAATAAGCTTTCTAACACCAGGTAATAACACATTTATTATCAGTAATAGTCAGCGTAACATGATTTCCTTAGAGGGAATAAAATGATCTGCGATGGGACCTCTTCAAGTTATGAAAAACACAACCTACGTTGTAAATTTTGCCATTCATTCAACAGGTGGTGAAATAGTGCATACCGTGTAGAAGGTACCGCGTTGAGTACTGTGGAGGAATTTAGAAATGAATACACAGTCTCTTCCATAGTCCCGTGCCAAGAGCAAACATAAACAGAAATGAGACAGAAATTTTATGATAGTTACAGAAGCACAACTTGTTGCGGCTACATAGCAGAAAAAGGAGATTAATGCCGACACGGTTGGCGAAAGAAAAAGATTTCAATAGGTGAGGATAAGGAAGTTAAAACCACTTCCAGGGGAAGGACATAAGCAAAGCGTGGAAGTTAATAGTTAGTTTAGACGAAGCATTTGTCAGGAAGGGTGGGACTAAAGACAGGATGTAGCAAACAAAGCTAAAAAGGGCATCATGTTATGGTGAATCTTTGAATATCTAAGACTTTAGAAGGGGAAACGACTGACAGGCTTTCAGGAGGGAAGAACAATCTCGTGGGAAGATAGTACCGCAGGCCTACGAAGGACGGAGAGATCAGATGAGAGAGCGTAACAGCAGGAGCGAGGGACGACGAGGTCCTCAACTAGGGCTGTGGGAATTCGGAGGAAGCAGTGGGAATTCGGAGAAAAAGCATTTAAAGTACCATTGCAGAGGTAAGTATCACACAGCCCGACAGTAACTGGAGGGGAAGGGGAAGGAAATGCAGGAGTCAAGGAAAACACTAAACTTCCAACCCTAAGTGGTTGCACTGGGCAGTAACATTTAGAAGAAATAATTTCTGTTACTTTATGAAACCTCCGCACCCATCAATAAAATGGTCTTCACAGAGCATTAGAGCAACACGCTCTCTACTTGGAAACAATTCTAATAGAACTATTTTGCATATGTGTCATTCTAAGATCCTTTAAAGAATACTTATTTTGAAATTATATTACTAGTGCTTAAACATTCCAGTTAGTTTAGAAGAGTGACTTTTTACCATGTACTTGAGCAAGATTGTTTAAAGAACAAATCACATGATCATCCCCAAAGCTGCAGAAAAAGTATTTGACAAAATTCAACACTCTCTCATGATAAAAACTCTCAACAAACTAGGTACCGTAGACACCTACGACAAGCCCACAGCTAACATACTCGATGGTGAAAAACTGAAAGCTCTTCCTCCAAGATCAGGAATAAGACAAGCTCGCCCAACCTCACTACTCCTACTCAACATAGTACCAGAAGTCCTAGCTGGAACAATTCGGCAATAAAAGGAAAGAGAAGACATCCAACCTGGAAAGGAAGAAGCCAAATTGCCTCCGTTCGCAGATAGCGTGATGTCATATGTAGAAAACCCCAAAGACTCCACACACGCAAAAATCCCTGTTCAAACTAATAAGTGAATTCAGCAAAGTTGCAAGTTATAAAATCAACATGCAAATGTCAGTTGTATTTCTACACACTAACAATGAGTCACGCAAAAGTGAAATCAAGAAAACAATCCCATTCACAACAGCGTCAAAAAGAGTAAAATACTTAGGGAAAAAAAATTAACCAAGGAGGTGAAAGCCTTGTACGCTGAAAACCACAAAGCACTGATGAAATTAAAGACAGCATACATGAATGGAAAAATTATCCCATGCTCACGGGTCGGAAGACTTAATATTGTTAAAAGGCCCATACCACACAAAGCGATCTACAGATTCAGTGCTCTCCCCATCAAAACCCCGATGCTATTTTTCTACAGAAATGCCTCTACAGAGCAATCCTACAATTCATGTGGATCCACAAAAGACTGTGAATGGCCAAAGCGATTCCAAGAAAGAACAACAACAACAAGCTGGAGCCATCACACTTCCTGATTTGAAAACTACATTAACAGAGCCACAGTAAGAAAAACAGTACGGTTCTAGCATAAAGACAGATGTATAGACCAATGGAACAGAACAGTGAGCCCGGAAATAAACTTCCACATATACAGTCAACTGATTTTTGTTTTGTTTTGTTTTTTAAGATTTTATGTATTTATTTGACAGAGAGAGAGTTAGCGATAGCGAGAGCAGGAACACAAGCAGGGGGGAGTGGGAGAGGGAGAAGCAGGCTTCCCGCCGAGCAGGGAGCCCGATGCGGGGCTCGACCCCAGGACCCTGGGATCATGACCTGAGCCGAAGGCAGACCCTTAACGGCTGAGCCAGCCAGGCGCCCCCCCACAGTCAACTGATTTTTGATGAGGGGGCCGAGGATACAAAATGGGGGAAAGATAGTGTCTTCAACGAATGAAGCTGGGAAAACTTTATGGTCCCCATGCAAAAGAGCAAAAGAGGGTGGGTAGGGCTCATGTTAAGTGTTCTTAGGACATTAAAAACAACAACGACAACAGCACTCTGACCAAAAACAGAAGGGGAATGTACAGGATTCCATCCACTCCCAAACGAGTATATAGCTGTGTGAAGAAGAGGTCCGTGCCACTGAGGATGATTCTCGCTAACGTGGAAATACGACTGAAGGTAATCTCAAGTCACAAGCTTACAGTCTTACTCTGGCTTTTTTCATTCTCCTACGTATCTGTGCTGTCTCTTGCAACTGTAAGTTGGCATATAAAGCCACTTTTAGTCACTTTAATAATTCTGCAAGCAAATATGCCATAAAATACTTATAAAATGCAACTGAAAGTAAAATTGGCTACTTGCTGTTTGAGAAACATTGGCGGCACAAAGAAAAGTAAATGACATCGAGAAATGATTTAAAGACTTCCTACTTTCAAACTATGTATTCATCACTACTCTCCTAAGAAAGGCGGACTCTGGAACAGAGAACCATGATTCAATTGTTAATAAAGGATCGGTTTCATGCACGATATGCACATTTCTTGGTAAAATCCCCAATCTACCAGTCCCTGTTTTGAGTAACACCCACGAAACCGTGAATGAATCTGAAAAGTAGAAGTACATTTAGCATTTATGTTAAATCAGAACAATGAATTCAAAATGGAAAATGCCTAATTAATTTTAATTGATTTTAGAGGCATAACCAAAATGCTTTTAACATGTATTAAGAAGGAAAGACAATTATTTTCTACTTCCATATACATATTACATTTTATGAGAATACACTGTGTTACCAAACTCAACGGACCTTCAAGAATTGCTCATACAACCCTTTAATTGCTTGCATTCTCTGGCTCTGAACCGTTCTAGAGTGTTGCAGAACGTTTTGTTGCTGTCGAAATATATTCTACAAATATAAAAGGGAAAAAAAAAGAAAAAAGCTGTGATGACCATCTGGGTAAAATTTAAAACTTAACAACAACAACAAAAATCTAGATTAAACCTGAATCGTTTTTTAAGTGAGTATTTTTTTAGTGTCTTCTCTTTTATCAAATATCGTGACCTAGTTTACATCGTCTGTGTTTACCAGTAACATACAAAAACACCACAATGGTCTTGTGTGCTGGTCACTAAGTAGGAAATTTCCTTTCTTAACAATATTCAAAACATATATCTTATTCTTGTTGATTTCAAAATCCACACACATGATCCTTCCAGTAATCCTCCCATGATCTTCCTGTTCCTCCACCAGTGATCTTGTTCTATCCCTACCTAGCCACTCACTTTCAGAGCCATAACCTTAGATTTTGTCAGCCCGATAACTGAAACATTTACATGACGTTACTAATAGCAAAGACTTATAGAGGAACTATGTACAGATACTGTTCTGAACCATTTCAAATAAGCTTATTATAGAGGAGCTCATTTAAATCCTAAAAACAAAAACAAAACCAAAAAAACCTGTAACTACTCTCATTATACTCCCTTTCATAGGTGAGGAAACTGAGGCTCAGAGAAGAGCAATTCGTCCATGGCTTCACAGCTAGCGATTAGAAAATCAGAACTGGATCCCAAACATTATCGTCCCAGTGTCCAGGCTCTTGACCACTGTACTACACTGTCTGTCCACTTTGCCCAACATTCCACCTCCACGTCCCTGCGTTTGTGGCTCGCTCCCTTTCATACTACAGCTCAGGACCCTAGCAGGATCCGACATCCACTGAATGGAACAGTTTTCATCGTCCCCTGTCTCCACCCTCTGTCCTCATTTCCCCCCCTTCCAGCTAAATCCGTGGCCAACGGTTATACCTACACCCTTGTTTATATACTTTGCCCCCTTCTCACTCTGTCGAGGTGCACGGCTGACCTCAGCCCAACCCTGGGAAATCCAGCTCTCCAGCGGCTCAGACACAGCCACAACCATGAGTACTAGTCTCATATAAATTTGTGATTGCTACGACACCAACCCGCATTGGACCGGAATGTTGCTTGGCAATGATATTTCCCTTGTCCGTTCACTGGCCCACTCTCAGGAAACAGTTCCAGGCCTCCTCCTCTGCCCTCGAGAAGCAACATCTCCTCCCCCATCCTTACTCCTAAATGTGATACAGGCCTGCCCGTTAAGAGCGAACCATGCCCTGAACTCAACGGCTCGTTCAGGAATGAGCAAACGACTGAAACTAGATTGTTGATAGCAGTCCAGGGGACTTTTCTGCCAGACCTATGGAGAAAGGTTATCTCCTCCGTACACTGGGGTTACTAACCTGGTAGTGAATCTAGGATTGTAAGGTGCTATCATGCCGACCCCGTGGAGAGGGCCTACTAGGGGATGGAGACAGAGCCCAGACGGCACTGCCTGAGGAACTGTTACCCGGACTCATTCAGCTGTACCTGGCGCAAAGCTCCCTTTGACTTCTTCAGATAAACCAAGGCATCCCTCTTTTGTACTTTGGCAAACGTCTGTCCCTTGGAACTGCAGGAATCCCAACCGAGAGAGGAAGTAAAGACCAAGGGCTTTTGTGAGTAGGATGTGCGCCTGTGCCTCTCTGATTTTTCTGGGATCGGGGCCCACACACGTAGCCAGCAATGGAAACAGGACTCTGGCTCAAATCTACAGGTCTGAGGTGCGGCCAGGCTCACCATTCCTACTTGAGACTCGGTTACGATAGATTAATGATAAAGCTAAGCCTGATACCAACAGCTAGTTTTTCCTCTTCTTCCTTGGCTTTCTGCACATCTATATCCCACTCTTGAAGCAAAGTTAGAAACTGCTGACAGTATTCGTGATAAAGCTTCTGCCTGTAAAACATGATAACGAACAGGGTCATACCTTCTATTGTTAAGAGAAAAGCAAACCCATTCAAAACCAAACTGACTGGGCATAAATGTCCTATAAAGGGAGAAGGGGATGATCACAGCTGAAATTTTCTGATGGAAAATAGCAAAATAAAGCCGATGGCTTACTCTCACTGCTAACTGTCACTCACCGCTAACTGCCTTAAGAGGGATGCTCTCCCGTATGCCTTCGCTCTTGAAAACTAAGGAAGATTTATTGCATTATAAGTTTTCCCCCAAAATGCATTTTATCTACAAGGGGTTTTGTCCTTATTTTTTCATTTTCGTCCGTTTGCTGAATAACATATAGGTTGTGGAATGATAAATAGGTTCAATGAGGGTATCGTATTCACTTATATAACGTTAACTCTCCCAAACAGTAATATTTCACTTCTTACCCACTGTGGCACAATAAAGATTCTGTACAAAAGAACAGTGAACCCAATAGGGATACATTTTAAAAATATTCAAATATAAGATTAATCTTTTCTGCATAATTGAATACAGCTAACTATCGTAAGACGCTTGCCTCTTATTCAGCTCGCATACTCCAAGAATGAATATAACTTTTTCGTATACCAAGAAAGCTCAATTACAATTTGAAAGGAGAAAAAAGGGGTTGTCTTTGTTGGCCTCTAGATAATACATCTCTTTCCAATTAAGGCGTGAACTTACAGGGCTAAAGGAACTATTTGCTGAGCTACAAATCAAGCCAAACGCATTTTTCAACAGAGACTCCGACAGAGAGAGGATGACAGCATTATTCTGAATTAATCTGTAACCACACATACTAAGAAACTGCACACAGCTTCTGGCTCCAGAAACCAACAACGTTACCTTTGCTCTTCCTGGGTTTTCCAAACACGCTCAATTTTCTGGTTAATGTTTTTGACAGAAGCTCTGGTGTCCATCATGCATCTTCTCCTCTTTTCATAAAGAAGCTTTCTAATGTCACCTATATTAAACATACACTTATTGACATTTAATGCTGAAAATCCTCTTTTGCAGCTTATTCAAGACAACACAGGCAATACTGGTTCAGCAGCACTGGAAAGAAAATTAGCATCTTTTTAAAAGGCCTCACATCAGAAATCAAGATTATTCGCTTCTTTTTTTTCACCTGTGAAATCTTTCAGTTACTAATATCTGAATCCTAATTTTTTGTTGTTGTTGTTGTTTTTGCCTGCACACACCTTTTTACTTAACTTATCCTGGAAAAAGAGCTAATAAACAAAAGTTACTACCTCCCAAAATGTGTGAAATAAAAATGGGGGGTGGGTTTTCCTCAATGACAGTCTTTTAATTTTCTCATGAAAAGACAGTTGTACAGGCCGGTCTTTAATAAATTTATAAAATATCCTCCGAATCGAAGGACTCATTGAGATGGATTCTTGCTAGAAGTCGATATATAAAACACACTTTATCATTCTGTTTTAAAAGTGTCCCAAAGGGATAAAAATAAATAAATGAAAAGAGAAGAAAGGGGTGTGTGTGTGTGTGTGTGTGTGTGTGTGTTAATTTAGTCAATGAGGATTTTAAGTATATTTGAGTTAAAAGACCGTGGAGAGTTGAAGGAAATAAAAGAACTTATTCAAAAACACTTCCTAAATACGTTTTTTAGTAAACAAATGGAGTTTTCCTTACCGCATTTTTAAAAAGCAGCTTTGCAATTAGTAAAATTTTTAATATTTCAAAAAAAAAAAATGCTTTCCTAAGCATATGACTGTATGTTCCGCATCGGCCATCACTAGCTGTTTTCCAGGGACCAGGAAAAGGCGCACTGTTACACGACCACTTTATATATCCCGTTTGCCACGTAGAATAATCAACTTATGAGACAGCTCACACACCGAGAACCTCGGCACCGCCAAACAGAGCAAAGCTTTCAATACATACCTGCTTGTATGACTGATCCGTGCAGAGGACTCAAAAATTGACTCGGACTCTTTACTAAGAGTCTTGCCCTGTAACCCGGTTAATGTTTAAGTGACACCTGACAGAACAGCTGAAAACTTTTAGGTTTATTGGTTCTGATCACACGTTGCTAGCGTGCTGGCAAAGTGGTCTTTAGTTTTCCACTGCACAGTCTATTAGTGTAAAAGCATCATGACAAAGACTTATTTTACAGGCCTCCATTTAAACTTCCGCACCAAAGAAAATAGATAGAAAAGTCAAGGAAAATAGCTACAATGAGAAAATTAAAAATTGACATTAAAAACCGATGTATCACTCACTCTGGGACACGAAGTGGAAGAGAGATTATTTCGTGCCAATTCTTCTGATATCCCCCACAGTCCATCAAATGTACCCATGTATAAAATAAAAGCATCACTCTTAGCTCACCACTGGCAGCCCCAGTCTCTGCACATCCACAGTAAAAAGGGGAACTAAGGAAATCTATGAAGCCAAATCACGCTAAATACTCAAGGAAAATCCTGTCTCTGAGAACAAGGCATTAAATAACAGTGTTGTAGCCCACTGATTAACATTTCTTGTTAATGTGTGTTCTATGGCTCAAAACAACGTACTTTCGCTGAAAAAGCTCCTAAATCATACCTTCAAATCTTTCCAACATGTTCTGCAATTCATTCCTGTAAAGAAATGACATTAGGTATTTAATGAAGGGTACCTAAGACAGCACGCATGTTTTGGACGAAATATGGCGTGCCAAGGGCTTCCCATACGTCACATACTCGTTACCTGAGCCAACCTTTATTTTTCTTAAAGTACCTTATGGGTCAGGGGGAAATTACTTTAAACGCGTTACCCCACATCTTCCTCAAACGTTACTGCAGAAGGCCTTCTTCCCCCGTAGTATTCAGTTAGTGGACTGTTTCCTGCGTTGAAATAAAAGCGGAAAACATTTTAAAACGAAGTATGGTGGTGGGCACTAAGGAGGGCACGTGATGATGTGATGAGCACCGGGTGTTATACGCAGCTAAGGAATCACCGAACGTTCTGTCGCAAACTAACGATGCACTACATGTCGGCTAACTGCATTTAACTCTGAAACAGTAAAATGAAGTATGGCATTTTGATCCGTTTTCAGGGAGCAATACCTTCCCCGTGGAGTTTTTTAGGGCTCCGTCTCGCAAACAAAAGTTTTCTTAAGGCAGGCCCAGGAAAGGGAGCATGCGTGTGCAAGGCCAGACGACACTAGATCAGGGACCAGGACCATGCGACGGAGACGGTGTTACAGGCCCTTCCAGGTTAATGCCAGAGTACATCACCCAGCCGGCGCGAGGTATTTGGGAAAGAAGGACTGCGGGGGAGCAGAAGAGCTGCGATCTAAGCCTCGGGAATCCTGGTTTGGGACAGGAGGATCAAGTGGGCCACCTCTGGTACCTGGAACTGCTTTACACACACACACACACACACACACACACACACACACCACACGCAGAGACAGACAGACACACAGAGAGACAGAACAGACACCCCCCCCCACACACACACCACACACAGAGACAGACTGACAGACACACAGAGACCGAGACAGACAGACAGACACACACACACGAGGATTTTACTGTTTACAACGCCGAGGACTCCGAAGCGGTGGCCTGCCCCGCGTGCGTCATCAGCAAGCGCTGTATCTGCAAAAGGTGTCGGATAGGCAGTACCTTCAGCCTCCGGCCCCCTCAGCTCTCTTCTCTCTTGTCCCCCAGAGTCACGGGCTGCCGTACCCTGAGCCACCACCGGGGCCTTCGCGGCTCTGCCCAGGCGCTTCCTGCCAGCCGGCGCCATCCCGAGGAGGTGCCTTCTGAGCTCTCCTGCACGCTGTGGGCACAGACACGCGTTAAGGAAACGGGGGGACCCGGTCAGTGAGCGAGGCCAGGCAAGGGTCCTCTGCGCGGATCGGAGAGTGTGTGTGTCCTCGTGTCTCTTGCTGGACCAGGAGGGGACAAAGACGATGGGGACGGTGGACCCCTCCCTCCCCCCGCCCCCCGGCTCCGACCGAGCGCATGCGACCAGCCCCGGGACATCTGAGTGCCAGGACCTTCCGCCACACTCTGTCGCCCTACGCTGGGACAGAGGCCGTCCCCACCCCGAGGCCCCCGCGGGACAACGTGCTGGTCTGGAGGCCCAACCGTGGCCGGGACTAACGTCAAGTGTCCCCCTCCGCATGGACGGGGAATAAACCGTTCTGCACCTGTCCGGACCTGTCCGGGGACCGTCGGGTCTAGGGCGGCTCCTCGACACGCCATCTGGACCCCAGGACGGCCTCCGGGGACCAAACCGCCCTGCCGGGGGGCCGGGCAGGAGGGACAGACGCAGACGGACCCTCCTCACCAGGTGTGGCCCTCCCAGGAAGTGGGGACCGTCGGACCCGCTGCCTGCCCTGCCGGCCCCGCCCTCGGGGGCCTCGTCGTGTCCTGCCGGAGCCCCCGAGGACCCCGCGGGGACATCACCTCAGCGGCCAGCCCAGCCGCCGCTGCCCCACACCCTGGCCCCACCCTCACGTCTGAGGAGACCCCCGTGGCCACACAGTGCCGCCGGGCCCGCCTCCCCGACCCGCCTGGGCCTCCCTGAGGGTCCCCTACGCCTCACCCCCATCCTCTGTCTCTCTGTCCCTCCTCCCTCCATCCCTCCACCTGCACAGCGACCTCCACCCCACGTCCTCCGCGACGCTCCTCTGAGGGCCTCGCGCGGGAGAGGAGCTCGCCAGCCTCGCCTGGGCGGGGGCGTTGCTGATTGGCCGGCGCAGCGCGCATGCGGGAGGCGGGGCCTCGGCCGAGACACGCCCCCTGGACCAAACTGCCCCCTCCGGGCGCGCTGGTGCCGAGCATCGAGCATCGAGCGAGCATCGGGCATCGAGCGAGCATCGGGCATCGAGCGAGCATCGGGCATCGAGCGAGCATCGAGCGAGCATCGAGCATCGAGCGAGCATCGAGCGAGCAGCGAGCATCGAGCGAGCATCGAGCGAGCAGCGAGCATCGAGCGAGCAGCGAGCATCGAGCGAGCATCGAGCGAGCAGCGAGCATCGAGCGAGCAGCGAGCGAGCAGCGAGCATCGAGCATCGAGCGAGCAGCGAGCGAGCATCGAGGCCCCGGCTGGGCGGCTCCGGTTCGACCATATTCAAGGACGTTTCACGGGTCCTCTTCCTGGGAAATCACAAAAGGATACGGCAGTGTGGAACCACGTAGGTGCTCAAGCCTCCACCTTCCCGACGTGGGACACTTTTCACAGTTCCTGCGCAGTCTCCTCCCGGGGCCCTTCCCACCCACTGCCTCCGCTCGCAGAGGAAGAGCCATCCTGCTGCGTGTCCTGTGTCAACCAACCCCCTCCGTTTTCTACGGTTCGTTTTCTGGGTGGTCGGCTGGTCGGGGTTTGCTTCGTCTTAGAGACCCGTGTGCGTATCCTTGGCTGTCCTGGCCTCCTGCTGTGTTGCCTGGGGAGTACAATAAACTGTACCGCCTCCTGCCTGGTGTTCCGCCGCTTCCTTTTTCACCCAACATTGCGCCCTGACGGTGCCTGTACTATATTCCGCAGAGCCGTCCTGCTTTCGTCTTCCCTGCTGGAGCGCACACCACTGTGGAACCACTCCTCAACTCGTTCATCCGTTTTCTTGTCCGTGGACGTGTGGATACTTCCCACTGTAGAGCCCTTACAAGCAGGGACGCTGGCAATATTCCGGGGTCTGGCACACGTGCGATTGTGTTCTGCTGCGTTTAAAGGAGCCCAAGAGGGCGCCTGGGTGGCTCAGTTGGTTAAAGGAGCCCAAGAGTTTCGAGGAGTCCCACCAGCAGTGCACAGTGGTTCCTACTTCTCCACTTGCTTTTTTCCTCCCACGGAAAAAACAATCGTACCATCCTCCTTTATTGAATGGTGCATGCTTTCCCTGCCATCAGCCGTGCCATGTCTGTCATATGCCAACTTTCTCTATGTCCCTGATTCTGCTTCTCTACCCTGTTCCACCAGTCACTTCATTTATCCTGTGCCAAAACCACAGCTTGTGGTAGAATGAAGGTCCTAGGTCAGATCTGCCTAACTCCGAATCCTCGGGTATTGGCTTACACTATGATGCCTGAGATCCTTCGGTGATTCCTCAGAGCCTCCACAAGAGGGTCTACCCTACGTATGAGGGCCCTTAGCGTCTTGCCTGGTTTGACTCCCCTCTTAGGCTCTCCATCCAGAGCTTCTTGCAGTTTCCTCAAGCACGCCATTGCTGTTTCCTGCCACTGGGCCTTTGAACAAGCTCGACCAACTTCTCTGTCGAGTCTCGGTTGACACTCCTTCCTTTGCCTGCCACTGTGACTTGTGCCGCCTCTCTCCTCTCACGGTGCCGTGATCCAATCATCTGTGGGCTAATGAGACTGCACTGTTTTGCCTCGCTTTGACCATGCGGGAAACCTGTATAATTCTACCAACCAGATCTGGAGCTTACAGTTCATACGGGTCACTGTTTGCCCGTAAACAAAAACAACATTTCTGTGAGCTTTACTGCCCTTTGAAAGTATACATACCCCCGACCCATTTAATTATCTTAATAACCCTCTGGAAGGTGAATCGGTGTAAGGCCAGTTTATAATTTAAGCGCGGACAAGGATCAAAGGGTAGAAATGCTTGCCCCGAGTTTGCTGAGCTGCACAGTAGAGCTAGGACCAGACCTTTGGTATTTTGACCCATCGCTCTCCCCTGGCCCTCGCCTGTCGCTGCTCAGTGTCACTTCGCTGCTCTGGGAATAAACCACACCTTCAGCTGCAAATCATGATCTCCAGCAGTGTTTGTCTCTTCCAGTAGCAGAGAAAATGGTTTGAAGAGTGTCGCTGTAGACGTGGAAGTCCTTTTACAAGGTTGTTGCTTTCGATGTAAAGTTCAAAACAAGTTCATCGAGGAAGGTACTCCCTATGACATTTTGGAGTGCACCTAAACGTTGTGAAATGACAAACCCATTGAAGAGTTCGTGCAGACCAGACCAGGTGACAAGGAAAAGGGGTTATCCTCGGTAGAGCAAAGATCAGTAGCTCGACAACGACTTTCAGGTCCCAGATTTTCAGGGGCATTCTGATTCTTTGTGGCTGGCACGAGGACGGGAATCTGAATCTGTAAGAAGCTCCCACAAGGGATTTGGGTAATTAATAAAGACAGCGTAAGGAAAGTGCCGTGGTGGGTCCTGTACGTACCTAAGCATTCCATCCTTCACCCTTTCATCCTTACTAACAGAACCTTGACCCCGTTGCATATAGAGGTCAGCACATGGCCCGGTCCAGCTCCTGGGGTGGCCATGATGCTTGTCCCAGATGACCCCGGTGGCATTCCTAGGAGAGCTTCACGAACTGGAAAGACGCAGCTGGTTTCCCCCTTTGAGCTGTCCCCTTTGTCTGGCCCGCAATACAGATCCAATGCCTGTGTCCTTGGAGACAAAAGCCACAGTTAAGGATAGAGGGACAAGAAGAAAGAAGATCCTGGCTCCTTGAGCTGTGGTACCAGCGCTGAATTATGGATTCCTACTGTGTGTTAAAAATGCAGTAAAATGCAATTCATAATGATAGAGCGGTACGTACCCGAAATTTATTTTTACCCAACTTGTATCAGCTGTGGCAGACTATTACTGCAACATTTAAACCCAAACATGTATAATGACCCAAAACTACTTCGTTTAGGGCGCCTGGGTGGCTCAGTCGTTGGGCGTCTGCCTTCGGCTCGGGTCGTGACCCCGGGGTCCTGGGATCGAGCCCCGCGTCGGGCTCCCTGCTCGGCGGGAAGCCTGCTTCTCCCTCTCCCGCTCCCCCTGCTTGTGTTCCCTCTCTCGCTGTGTCTCTCTCTGTCAAATAAATAAATAAAATCTTAAACCAAAAAACAAAAAACAACTACTTCGTTTATTTCTCCTGTAACATTTCCGGGAAAGTGAATATGTCCTCCTGGTGGGCATTATCCATGCACTTCTACAGGGACCCAGGCTGTCAGAAAGTCTGCCACGTCCAACACGTGGCTTCCACGTTTGCCCCGGAGGCGGCCTGCTTTGCGGTTTGCTAGAAGGGGAAAAGAGCAGAGAGGTGCACCAGGTATGAGGTTTTTACGAGTTAGGTCCGGCAGCGGCACACATCATTTCCGCTGACATCCCATTGCCTAGATCTCAGCCACACAGTCACGTCCAACAGCAAGGAAAGCTGGGAAATGATGCCTAGGTTGGGGGCCCGGGAAGAAGAGGCACGCAAGGGTTTAGGTGGTGAGCTGAAAGTCCCTGCAACCTGTGCCTTTTTGTAAAAGCAGTGTAAAACTTGACTACATTGGGTTTCCTTAAAGGGAAACTCACAAAAATGCTCAAAGCATGAACTGAAAGTCCAGCATGAAATTAAACGAGGCTGTCCCACTTACGGACTGTGAGACACTGAACTGATTTCTTGACTTCTCTAAGCCTCGCTGGCTTTCTCGCTACCTTAAAGGCATAACGATAGTATTTGTCTCATAATATTTTGGGTGAAATTAAGCGAAATAAAGCATAAAAACCCTTATGGGCACTCAGTGATATAAAGCGAGCACTCAAATATTAATAACAGTATAATGATATTAAGGTTCATAATTAATTCTATATAATTGTGATTATGTTATCATAATTACTATATTGCCATTATTATGGCCACCTTTTTTTAGTCACTGGTACGCAATTTCCTGAATATCAAACACTGAATGCAAACTAGTGCCCGCTCTATATTTCAAAGCATTAAAAAAATGAATTATTTTCATCATCAGGATTAAATATAACATTTCATTAACAAAGGTGGGTTTGGGACGGGAAATATATATCTCAAGTATACAAATTATTTAGGGTACGTCAAATGTCACAAGGGCATTCTTATTCTTTAGGCAGTATTTCTCCAAAAGAAGTCCGAGAAGACGACAGATGTTTGAATAAAAGCAAAAAAAAAAAAAAAAAAAAACCTATGTGCAGTCTGGTTGACCCCTCTCTTCTTTTTTTCCCTTCCACTCTCTTTGTTCTCCTTTGGCCTCCATAACTGCATACTCTGCTGTTATCCACTTTCATTCTGGAAATTTCTTTTCTTTTCTTTTCTTTTTAAGAAATTCAACTCACGTCTTCTATTAAAGGTTCTCATCTGACAAATATTAGTAAAGCTGTCCATTAAACTGTAAATAACTTTTTATTTTTTATTTATTTATTTATTTTTAAAGATTTTATTTATTTATTTGAGAGAGAATGAGATAGAGAAAGAGAGCATGAGGGGGGGAGGGTCAGAGGGAGAAGCAGACTCCCCGCCGAGGAGGGAGCCCGATGCGGGACTCGATCCCGGGACTCCAGGATCATGACCCGAGCCGAAGGCAGTCGCTTAACCAACTGAGCCACCCAGGCGCCCGTAAACTGTAAATAACTTTTTAAGTACAAAAATAGGCAGGTGATTTTATAATCTAAAAAAAGATTTTACATTTTCTTTCTTTCTTTTTTTTTTTTAATTTCATTTTATTATGTTAGGCTAGTCACCATACAGTACATCATTAGCTTTTGATGTAGTGATCCACGATCCATTGTTTTCGTATAACACCCAGTGCTCCGTGCAGTACGTGCCCTCCTTAATGCCCATCGCCGGGCTAGTCCATCCCCCCACCCCCCTCCCCTCTAAAACTCTCAGTTTGTTTCTCAGAGTCCATAGTCTCTCGTGGTTTGACCCCCCCCCCGCCGATTCCCCCCCCCTTCATTTTTCCCTTCCTTCTCCTAATGTCCTCCATGCTATTCCTTATGTTCCACAAATAAGTGAAACCGTAGGATAATTGTCTTTCTCTGCTTGACCTCTTTCACTTAGCAGAATCTCCTCCAGTCCCATCCGTGTGGATGTAAAAGTTGGGTATTCATCGTTTCCGATGGCTGAGGAATATTCCATTTGTATATATGGACCACATCTTCTTTATCCATTCATCTGTTGAAGGGCATCTCGGCTCTTTCCACAGTTTGGCTATTGCGGACATTGCTGCTATGAACACTGGGGTGCATATGGCCCTTCTTTTCACTACGTCTGTGTCTCTGGGGTAAACACCCAGGAGTGCGATTGCTGGGTCATAGGGTAGCTCTATTTTCAATTTTTTGAGGAACCTCCACACTGTTTTCCAAAGTGGCTGTACCAACCTGGAATCTGCATTTTAAATAAATGCTCCCGGTTGATCTCAACCCCACTAGAGTTGGAACCACTGTATTTGTCAAGGAGGACCTGACTGTCATCAACAATGGCAGCTCAACATCTCCATCTGGTGGCTTCATAACACCAGTGTGCTTTGCAAATGCAGTCCATGGTTGTTAGAAAACTATTAAAAATCTGAAAAACAGGAAGGAAACAGGAACAAAGGACACGAGTGGAGTATCTGCTCCATGAATAACCAAGACTGAGTTGTAACATCTTTTTTTTTTTTTAATTTTATTTTATTATGGTACGTTAGTCGTTAGCTTTTGATGCGGTGATCCACGATTCATTGTTTTCGTATGACACCCAGTGCTCCGTGCAGTACGTGCCCTCCTTAATACCCATCTTTTGACTTTTCCAACACCAAACTTGAACTTGCCTGTATGAAACGTTTGAGGGGAAATCAAACCGATGCATCTCAATTGTCATCCGGCTACACAAAAACACAGGTACTGGATGAATCCTATCTCTAGATCATTACACCACGTTTTGATTTCTTACAGTGGTGCCGGGAAGATTTCATGAATTTTCAAATTATCCTTCCAGACGTTAGCTAATAAAGAACATTCCACTTTCCAAAAATAACTTAATACAGAGCACTCTTAGTTAAGTTCTACCGTTAAGTCTTTCTTCTAATTATAAAAGCAATAAATATTCATGGTAGAATAACTTTTACAAAATGTAAAATCTACGGAGGAAGTGAGATTCATACTTCATTCCACTACCGAGACACACTATACAGTTTGAAATGGGGGGATACTATCTGCTTCCGTCCTTCCCCCTTCCTCTCTCTCCCTCTTCCCCGTCTATTAGTTTCTTTTAACGTTTCGCTTTTTTGTACCGGCCTTAATTTGCTACCAGCTCTGGGGTTTCTCTTTTTCCCCCTGTTTTTAATCACACATTTTACTTCTTTCATCTAAGATTCGGAAGCAAAGCTTCAATATTTTATTCAGTGCAATCCCACTTTCATACTGACTACTTCAAGTTAACAGGTTAATGCTAAGCCAGTGATGTATGTTTTACTTCTAATTCCCTTCCTTATACTGCTCAGCATTTCATTGGCTCTTGTAAGCATACCAGTGTGTTGGGTGAGGGATGGCTGACGATGACCGTCCAATGGCGGGGTGGGGAGGGGTAAGGATAGCCTCTTCAACAGGTGCCTCTGGGACAATGGTATATCCACATACAAATGAATGAAATTGGACCCTACAGTCGCACCATACACAGAAAGCCTAACTTATAAGAGCTAAAATTATAAAAGTCTTAGGATACAACGTAGTAGTAAAGCTTTGTGACCTTGGGTTTCTTAACTATTAGACCAAAAGCAACAAAAGAAAAAAAAAGTAGGCAAGTTGGCCTTCATCAAAACGAAAGTCCTTTTGCATTAAAAGACACTATTGAGAGAGAGAGAGAAAAAATATCCTACAAGATGGGAGAAAACATTGGCAAATCATATGTCTAGGGAGAGTCTAGTAACCAGATTATGTAAAGAACCCTTACAACTCCAACCAAATGGCAAAGCAAACAATAAAAATGGGAGAGGGATCTGAATACAGATTTCTCCAAGGAAGATATACAAATGGCCATCAGTCACATGATAATATGCTCAACATTACTCGTCATTGGGAATTGCAAATCAAAACCTAACAACAGCTGTTAACACCCATTAGGATGTCTAACATTAGGGGGAAAATAACAAATTGCTGTTGAGAATGTGGGGAAGTTGGAAGCCTTATACACTGCTGGTGGGAATTTAAAATGGTACAGCCACTGTTTTAAAAAAAAAAAAAACAGTTTGGTGAGGGGCGCCTGGGTGGCTCAGTCGGTTAAGCATCTGCCTTTGGCTCAGGTCGTGATCTCGGGGTCCTGGGATCGAGCCCTGTGGTGGGCTCCCTGCTCGGTGGGGAGCCTGCATCTCCCTCCCTCTCTCTCTCTCTGCATCTCCCCTTGCTTGTGCTCGTGCTCTCTCTCTCTCTCTCTCTCTCTCTCTCTCTCTCTCTGCATCTACCCCTGCTTGTGCTCGTGCTCTCTCTCTCTTTCAAATAAGTAAAATAAAATCTTTAAAAAAATAAAAAGAAGGGCGCCTGGGTGGCTCAGTTGGTTAAGCAACTGCCTTCGGCTCAGGTCATGGTCCTGGAGTCCCTGGATCGAGTCCCGCATCGGGCTCCCTGCTCGGAAGGGAGTCTGCTTCTCCCTCTGACCCCCCCGACCCTCCCCCCTCTCATGCTCTCTCTCTCTCTCTCTCTCATTCTCTCTCTCAAATAAATAAATAGAATCTTTAAAAAATAATAATAAAATAAAAAGAAGTAAAAACAGTTTGGTGGTTCCTCAAAAGCTTAAACATATAATTAGCATATGATGCAGCAGAGATATCCCCACCCCACCCCCCAATTTAAAACAGGCATTCAAAAGACACATGAACAGGTATGTTCATAGTAGCACTATTCAAAACAGCCAAAAGTGGAAGCAACCCAAATTTCTGTCAACAGACGAATGGGATAAACCTAAGGTGGAATAGCCATACAACAGAAT